ACGACACGCCGTCACCCTGTCGGTCCGCTTTCGCCTTGAGCTTTTGGTCCCATTTCCTCTTACAGACCCCCAGGTTCTTTAGGACTTTCCTGGACCTTTCAGGATTTGGGTTTCTTAGGCTGGCGTGTGGCACCGCTGTCAAGTCAGTACGCATATCCATAAGTGTGTGTGTCACACTCCGTTTCTAGGAGTTTCGTTTTGACGCAGGGGGTAGCGGCAGATCACTTGGGACCGCTACCAACGAAGACGCCCACTTCATCTGGTGAAGCACTGGGAGACGTCCTGGTGCGTACCTGCGGTTGGAACTGTTGCGCCCCTCCGCTGTTCCTTGTTTTGCATGGTTTTTCATGATACCTTCCCATTAAACCAGGTTTCCTGCCGTTGAGCCACCGCCGCTTTCTGCAGACTTGCAACGCAGTGTTTCAAACAGCTACAAGTTGCCTGACCTAGCCGACTTTCCGTTCCACCACTCCTTTTGACGTGGACTATGATTAAAGTGTGTGTCTGAAAGTGCCGAGCCCCTGATATGCCAAGCTTCTCGAACAACGCTGCCTCCCGAGGATCGCCCAGCATGCGTCCCCGCACCCAGCGCTCCGGGTGGCCCAGGTCCCGACCTGACCCAGGGAAGGCGGTGGAACATCGACGGTCATGTTCACCGCATGCATCCCCATGCACTGTCATATCCTGGCAGTTGGATGTTCCAAACCCCCAAACACTTTAAGCATGTTGAACAAAGAATGTGGAGTGCGAGAAAATCAAACATCTCAACGAAACCTGGCAGCCTCCACAGCGTGCTTGTGGTCATTATCACGATCGGGAACAGTATGGTGCTGAACATGTTTCCATGAACAGCCTTATTTCAACAGGAACCATGCGTCCTTGGGCTTCTTGGGTTTGTGTCTGGAACAAGGTTGATGGGAGCTGGCAAATCGGGTCTCAACAGCTCTGTTGGCCGCAATTGAATCATTCATTAGGTCAGTCTTGGGGTTGCTCCCGCGATTGACTGGAACTAACTTCTCATTGATCAACTGGTTCATCCGAGTATTGGAAAAGCGATGAAAAGCGATGAAAAGCGGTATCCGGTATCCCTTGCCCCCATGCGATCCCATCAAGAGCAGCCCCGCACCCGTCACCCGCCCTGGTTCTCCTCCCAAAACGGTCGAAATCCGAGCGTCGAGCATCTCCACAATGTCCAATGCTGGTCTCATCATGGGGGAACTCCGGATCCACGAAGGCCTCTGGATCGTCCTGGTATCGCACACAGGCAGCCAGTGAAGGCAACAAGGCGGGAGAGTCGAAGCACATAACGGGGATGTGGAGCTTGTGGGGTGGTATGGAACATGCATCTTGCTCATACTTCACCTCCCCCAAAAAATCATCTTGTTAGGATATGTTAGGTCTCGGATTTTTGCGACAGTCCACTGGTGAAGCATAGCTTTCTCCCGAAAAGCCACCGCAAGATTCTGGGTCCGCCCCGCTGTCCTCGAGCGCCGAGGAAAGGCGCGTCTCGGATCGATTGAATACGGTCCTGGAAGGAAGTGAACTCCGAGCGGCAGGCCATTCGCCAGGAATAGGTAAACGGTTCGCCCTGCACCAGGAGCACCGTCTTCGTCAAGGTCTCACCGGGATTCAACCTGGTGAACACATGGAAGGAAAAGCACTTCCGTCACACGTTTGTCTGTCCAGTCGAAGTTACATTTCCTGAAGTCACTTCTCTCAGGCAACATGTGGCCTTCATCTGGTTTGTACTTCAGCTGCTTCGACTGCTTGCCCCAGAACGGGGCAAAGCGAGGCCTGCATGGGAATCCAAGGTGCTTACCCTGTGAGTCCCAAAAGTGGACAACGCTCCAAGTTAAGAGTCATTTACGCTTTGGATATGCTATATCTAGTCTATATACTTGTGAGAAAAGAGTAGCAGGTCCAGCTGAACTCAGTTGAACCACTTCAGGATCTTCAGGCCTACCTGGTAGTTCTGAACCATGAGGTCTGTGGGTCCATGAAGACCGGAAGAGCCCATCACGTTCCCTCCATGAGATCCACCCTCCATGAGGTCTCGCCAAATACATGATTCCCAGCCAAGCAACACCAAGCTCACGGGATTCCCTTCGGGACATGCAACCTGTAGGATCCGATGGTTGGACGTTGGCGTTGGTGGTTTTCTGCAGCAGTTTGAGGGGGCATGTTCATCACCGCCACATGGATTTGCGGGAACATGGGGCAAAACACATCGAGTTCAAAACACATATAATATTATCATGTCAATTGTTGGGTTTTGGGGGGACCTTGTTGATCTTTGGGTGGCGGTCACGCATTCTCTCTATTGTGAGGTGCTGACTAGTAGCGTCCTACTTAGCGTCCTTGATCCTAGCAGCGATTCCCTTCTTACTAGTAGCTTCTTGTTACTAGTAGAACATTCAGAAGCTACTAAGAGTAGCGATGCCCTTGTTACTAGTAGCTTCTTGTTACTAGTAGAACATTCAGAAGCTACTAAGAGTAGCGATGCCCTTGTTACTAGTAGCTTCTTGATACTAGTAGAACATAGTAGAACATTCATAAGCTACTAAAAGTAGCGATGCCCTTGTTACTAGTAGCTTCTTGTTACTAGTAGAACATTCAGAAGCTACTAGTAGCGATGCCCTTGTTACTAGTGCCAACAAACTATTACAGTAAGTTCTGACCCGAAGCTTTCACCTCGTGGGCCTGTCTCACTGTCTCAACTCTATGGCACCTTGTTATTCCATCTTTGAGTAGCTAAGGAATCCATGGGCCTGTTGTTCTCCCAATGACTGGGTCATGTGGAAAAGCCCCCCCCCCACGACTCCGGTTGGTCCCCGCAAAACGATTACACCAAAGCCAAGGGTAGCTCGTGATTGGTTGAACCTCGCAAAATATGAAGCATTCCTATCACTTCAACTTCAACTGCTCAAACAATCAAACAAGAAAACATCAATAGTTTGCAAGAATACTTGGAAATGCAGTTTTTGGCAAGATTTCGTCAACATCGCAAACCGAAGGGGCCCCCTCTTTCTTTGCAATTGGATTTAGTCAATTAGAGTGCCTTGTTTTACTGTGATGACACAGGCGTCATACCTTCCGTTCAGCTTGCATCAGTCACGTGTCGGGGACAACTGGTCCGATGTTTTTCGATATGTGTCGCTCGGGCCTGGCGGTTTCACCGACGACCCTGGGCGAAGCGGTCAAGCACCGACGCCGGGCCTGGTAGCTTCTTGTTCCTAGTAGTAAGGCCAGGAGCCCCTAGTAGCGTCCTTGTTACGCTTGTTACTACTAGTAAGGCACTTGTTACTTGTTACTAGAAGCGATGCACTTGTTACTAGTAGCTTCTTGTTCCTAGTAGTAATAGTAAGGCCAGGAGCTACGTTCGTAGCGTCCCAGCTCCGTTCGTAGCGATGTCCCTTACGAACGGAGCTTCTTGCCGGGTCACATGTTCTCGGTCGCTGAAGGTCAGTGTAAAGATTTGCCTTGTTCGGTCACTGGTATTGGTCAATGTCACATCGATGCTGCCAGCGCCGTCGTGGACGGTCCTCGGTTTCCTACGCCAAGCGTAGGTTCAAGGAGGATGAGTTTTTATTGGAGCACCTTACAGTCCTTACACAATCAGCAAAGAGTGGATGAGGTAACCTCCCTCTGCAGCTAATCCCCGCGTCAATCGCATTGGAGGTCTGTAGCGAGCCATCACGAAACGGCCGAGCTGCTCTGCGAAAAGGGGCTCCTGCTTGGCAATCCAAGCCTCAAAGGTAGTCAACAGTGGGTAGAGGGACTATTTCAGGGTGAGTGAGGTTTATGTCAGGGCCTTCGAACAAGTGCTCATTATGAGCAGGTTGATGTTTGGCCGGTGGAATTCTGACATTATTTCCCCTTGACTTCCAGTAAGGCAGTGTGACACTACTAGAATTTTCATGAACTTTCACTGTTCGTTGGAATTTGGAAAGGCGTGTTGATGAGACTCTGGTGGTTTCTTGGAAGACAAATCAATTCAGCAAAAATGCCGCTTCCCCAAATGTGCTGCTTCCAGTTCTCTAGGCAAGACCTATGAGCTATCAGCCCACCAGTGGCCAACAGTCAAGCCGGCACAGCCGGTTGTTGTCGACCAACATCAGGCTACCTACCTGCTACCTGGGCGAGAGCTATTTTTGTTCCCGGCAATGTTCCATGGTCACCCAACTCACCCGACACAAATGCCCATTGGCAAATATCGGCAGCTTGTGACTGGTGATGCGTGGGGCGGCTGGCCCTGCTCCAGGAAAGATCGTAGAGATCCAAGAATTGGTTTAAGGAGAAAACTTACAGGAAACCCAATATTGCTAGAGGGGTTACATCGACCTAGCGATGCCCAGTCTATGATCAAAGTAATATAAATAAGCAATGAAACATTCAAAGGTATGCCAAATTTGCTCTTTAGCAACCTTACGTTCACTAATTATGTAACTTTGGCTTTTGGCAAAAGTGCACTTGTCCTGGACGCGGAGCATGATCTTCAACCCTGTTGCTGATCTATAATCAGGAGGAAGTGACTAGAAGTGCTTATTCAGTTTGGAAACGAATCGCCTCCGTGCGATCATCCATTGTTTCTAGGAGATGCAGGATTTCATTTGGCCTGTCAATGAGAAGGGTCGGGGATTCACATGTGCGGACGCATCTGTCACCACGAACTGGGAGTTTGTTTTGAACTGACTCTACACTCTGACTCGCTACCATGGAAGTGAAAAACCTCGTGTTCGTACGGAAAGTAGCCTTCCCAGCAACATTCTTGCACTTCAATCTTATTGAGTCAGAGTGTCGCCAGATTTAATCACTGTATTGTTTGAAGGGACAAAAGGTTGCTCCGGGTATCGATTCATTCAGCGTACTTGTTTTTGATTGGAGGTACGCCAGTGTGTTTGGGGGTTTCCTAAATGCCATGAGCAAAAAACATATATTGGGCCAATAAGGCCCAAGAATGGAAGGAATATCCACATTTGGTGGGTGCGTTCCACGACCTTGCCTTATAATCTATAAACAATAATGCGTAATCTTGAAGAACCAAGCCATCACCGTCTTGCTTCGAGCAGCCAAAAACTCATGGACCTGGATCTTGCCATCTTGATTCCTCAAAAGGTCGAAACGGAATGTCACGATTTACAAGACGTCTTCGGAGGTGGTGATGTCCAATGTCTATAATATGTCTTGGAGACAAACTCGATCTACAAAGAACTCTGCCTTTAGAAGAAGCAAACCAGGATTCGTCCACAGCAGTTCTATTTCCGCTGCTAGTGGTTTTGTTGCGGGTAGTGATGGGTAGTGCTTGCGCTGGCAACAAAGCAAAGCAAACCTATAGCTATCCCACATGGTCCAGGTGTTGAGACGACCAACACATCTTCTCACTGATCCCGGAGCTCGCCAGGCATCCCATCAGCCGCCAAGCATCCCATCAGCCGCCTGGACCAAGCGTCCAGCATCCTCTTCTCTGAAGCCCAGCGCTTTCAACAGCTTTCGCATCTCTAAGTCCTTGGTGACGTTCCGAGACCCTAAGTGACAGGAGGGACCGATGAAAGGGAGGTTGGTTCCTGTGTGGATGGGGCATCGCCGGGCAGAGCGTGGGTGAGGAGTGAGCACTATTAAGCTTTGTGTATGCTTTCTCTGGCATGCAGCTTTCGGCCTCACGACAAATGGTCCAATCCCTGAGATCGTACTGGTAGTTCTGCCGTGCCGGTTGTTCTGTTCATTCATCTTTCGTCACTCTTATTCCAAAAAGAGACATGTGACATGTGCCAGAAGCAAATCAAACATATCAAAATGGGTCATGGGTCCCAATGGGTGGAAGGGATCATAGGGATCCAAATGGATCCGGGATCCAATCGCACCCTCTCTGTTCCTCTGTTCCTTCTCCCAGTGGCAGAGAGGATCCCATCGCCTGACTGATCGAAGGCCTCAAAAGCTTCTTGCAATCGCCGCGCCGCCATGAAGGTCGACACCGCGCAACCGCGGTGTGATGCTACCGGGTAGCTGGAGCCGAAAAAGGAGAAGCGGTGGGAACTGGATGGAGGACCTTTGGCCGAACTGGTCCAACTGGTGGCAAAATCATGTTTTGCCAGTTCTTTCAGGTCTTGTCCGGATCTGGGTCTGGCAAACTCACGAGCTGACTTCACTGAGCTGGAAACCCCAAGACTTCGCACTGCAAATCCACCCAAAACTGACATCATCCGGCGGTTCTCTGCCGTGCTCCTCGCGGTCAACGAAGCCTGTCCTGTCTTTGTCCATGACCTGCACCGTGCATCCAACCCGGTTGGCACTACGTTTTGGGCGTCTGGTGTTTCTCTGAGTGTTGGTCGGATGGACGACGATCAGCATGCGTTTGCATGCAACATTTGAGATGCTTCTGCACTCTTTCAAGGGCCTCTGTTTGGTCCAGTACTATAGTGAAATGCAAAATATGATGCACATTTCTTCTTCAAGAAGCTGCACGTCTTAAACTCATGGTATTGCATCCAAGCGACCATCAAAAGGCCTCAGCGCCATGCACAAGGTCACAACCCACCATTCCAACTACCAGTGGTCTACTTCCGACGGCAAGGGCTCGCCTGACTCGGGAGCTTCCTGGCGGCCCCGTCCTTTGTGGTTCGGTGTGCTCCACGTGTCCGCCCTCCGTGCTCAGATGCAGGTGCCAAGGCACTGTAGATGTGGTCTTCCACGGTGATCCTCAGGTACTAAGGCATGAGGGGAAGTGCTCCAGGATTACCAGTTTTCGCTATTTCTTTCTGGAAGGAGTTGCCACAACAAACTCACGACATGAAATAGTGATCCTCATAAAGAATGTTTATCAGTTCTGTAGGTTTTATATTATTGAGCAAGCATTCCTTACATCTGAACTCTGAAACTGGTCATTCTAGAAGAGAGATTGGGCATGAATCACCAAATGAACAGTTTAGAACACTTGCTTCCGGCCTTGAGCGATGACCGATTTCAAACCGCCAACATCACATGAAGCAGCCATCCCCATCCAAGAGCACTGGGAACCTCCCACTTACTAGCGATGGCCTCCAACCTAATACTGGACAAACCGTTTCGGAGCCCTGCAGAGACCACTGCGCATCGTCGGAATCTCCAAGTGTCTTGTCGGAGGAATCATCGCCGAATCCACCTGAGTGTAGGTGATGTCTGGCACCCCTACAGGCGATTGCTGGATCAGCGCCATATGGTGCAATTGTCCGGTGCCATGTGCTCCCTCAGACGTAATGAAATCAATGGTCCAATCTCGCATCAAGCTTTTGATTTCGACACAGCAGTTCATCTTGCCAGTCCATGGGCATGGGCATGTTCATTCTGGAAGTCCATTTCGCCGTGGCTGCGATTGTCACCCCATCACCCGAAAATGAGAGGGGTTTGTCATAGTTGGCTTCCACTTCTCACCAACCCTCCATGACTTTGGCGACTTTGGCTTCCCGTGCGCCTGTCACCCTGCGCTTCGTTGAAAACCGCTTCGCTTCGCTTCGCCAAGACACCCGCCCCGCGGAGGAGCGGCCTCAACTCTTGGTACGACAAACGGCCATCTCCTCAGCTGAAGGTCCGACTCGGGGGACGTCCCGCCCGCTGGACCCGCCGATTCTCACGGTGGACCAGTGCAAAGACTTGGTTCATGGACTGGCAGCTGAGAGCTCTGGAGGGTTCTGACACACAAGTGTCAGAACATGACGTCAAGACTCCTCACACAGAACATGACTTTGAAAGCGCCCGTACCTGTGAAGATCTCTGATTTTATTGTGTATATATATATATATATATCTCTCTCTCTCTCTCTCATTCCTCTGGGAGCACCTTTTCTGGAGCACCCGCTTCCGTTCATGTAGCTAGTAGGTGGAACGCTTTGGACCTAGGCCCTGGGACAAAACTTTTGCATAAATACTTCAGACCACTGCGTTCTTTATTCCACAGTACGCTTGACACCTCGGCCCATACCAAAATGAAGGTGATTGGGATTGGAGATTGGAGGCCATCGCTCTTAGGTTGGAGGCCATTCCTCTCAGGTTGGAGGCCATCGCTATTTGGTTGAAGCGCCGCGCCGAAGCGATCGCCACCACTGCGGCCCAGGAGCCATTCCGGTCCACGGTGGACCATGCTTTCTCGATGTCTGCTTTGGACTTCACTCCAGGCAAAATGGCCATCATGGAGCCTGTGCCAGGTCAAACGAAACTGATTGAAGAGAATTGCAGCATAAGATCTGAACATGTTAAACATGACTCTGACTGTCATTTGGTGCTCCTGCAAGCACTTCAAGTGGGAGATCGGAGACCAAAAGCTCATCATCCAATATTTAAATATCACGTATATAATCTGGCCAATACCAACAAAATCGGGTGATGGTCCCACACCCATCCCTGGATCGACACCGTTTCACGGCCTCCGTAGAAACGATTCGCCAACTTTCGTGCCAGGGAGTTCCTGACGCAGAGGGGAAGGTCCGTCCCGATCGCGGACCGCCACAAACACACACTCGAGTCACTCGAGTGTTTTTGAATGTATGATTGGTGATTCTTCATGACCATGTTGATGAACGGCTTGGCCTAGTGTCATGTGAGGTAGCCAAACCAAAAGCAGGGGTCAGCAGCAAAGAGTTGAATGGTCTAAGGCTGCAGATTCTGAGACTTCCAAACCCACTTCCAACTCAAAGTCATAAGACCCAAAAAGGGATCGAGCAATCCATCAATCAGAGCCGCTGGGGTGAATCCGCATAGCAGCATATCCCAACCTCAAGGAATCCCGGTTGCACATACCGCTCACCGGAGACTAATTGATGTATCCATCTTTTCTGTAAGTTCATGTAAGTTCCCAAGCACCCATGGACCATGGATAAAGCAAGGTCAGTCATTGCATTATAGCTCAATCCCTGTCAATCCTCCGATCGACTCACTACATTCCGTCCACGTCGACGGAGTCCGAACCGCCCAGCGGCCCGTACTGCGAGAGGAAGACGGCGTAATTGAATTGATCGCCATGGGTTCGCCTTTTTTGTGCGGAGATGAATGAAGGCGATGGAGTCAGGGGACTGATGGAGGGGAGTCATGGGTGGAGGCTTTTTGAGCATAGTGCTGTATGCAACAGTAAGCTGGTTGTTGAGGTTCAGGATTGGGCGATAAGCATACCAGCCAGAGGGGTGAAACAAGTGTCAGCAAGTCACCGAGAAACCGTCCCCAAATGTCTATAAAGATCCAATGTATATAAAGTGTTTGGCAAGCAACCGTGCGCAGCAGGTTTGTTGAACATCCCACCCCTCATGTTCGTTGCCCATCAGGTAACACCATGACCGTTGGTGCAAGGTGCATGCGCACCTGTGGCTGTGTAGCATTAAGTGGTGGGAAAACTATGTGGCCGACACTGACGCTGGAAGGGTTCTGGACTTTCTGAGGTAAACCTGCGAAACCTCCAGGGCCTTTGGCCTATCCAATGCAAAGAGCCACTGCGCAGAATATGACCATACCATTGACCATACCCTTAACTCCAGGGAAAAAACCCTGCAATGAACTCAAATAAATACTTGCAACTTACTTAAGCACACACACTGGTAAATGAAATCCCACAACCCCGTGAAGCCAAAGGACAGCATGTACGGCTCCAGCCATTCCTGAGCATGGTCTTCAAAAAGCATGATAGGAAATCATTGATGATCATTATCGTTTTCTTGCCTCACAAATGCAAATGTCATGTTATAGATCCAAAATAGTCACAATTCTTCCCAACGCTTGAATTGCTTTGGGGGTTAGAATGAACACGAAGCAACTTCCAGAATCTACAATGTGTTGTATTCTATTCCAGTTCTTTCTCCGCTGTTTCATGGTTTAGCCACTGCTTCTCTTTGAGATGATTGCTGCAGTTTTGCCTGACTCGACCTGTTTTCCAAATACACAAACTGTATCTAAAATCTGTTAAACTCATCATTCCAAAACATAACAAACTACTCCAAACAAGTGTTCGAGCAGGTGGTTCATTGGGCGCGCTGGGATTGATTCATGTGAATTGCTTAGGGGGCCAAAATGAAGTGAAATTACACTACTATTTACCATCAATTTCCTTTGCCACCCTGTCCAACATCAATTCAACAAAAAGATTCCGGAGGAGAGAGCTGGCTTCCCTAGTACCGCTAGCACTACCAGCAAACCACCACCATCAGCGGCAACAACTGCCACTCCGAATTCTACTTAGCACTTATGCCACTAGGATTCTCGGGGACTATCTCTGACTCTTCCGCAGTTGCTCCGCCGGCAGTTGACAATTCAAGACCCAACTCCCTGATGGCGAGTCATCAATCAGTTCCATAGAAAAGTAGGTCCCTCTCCCACATCTATTGAACACAGTTCCTATCTGTTGGGGACCACTTTAGCCAAACAACTTACAACTGGAGTTCTCTGGGTCAACTCTGACATTGCTTACGGCAAAACCACTGGCAATTGCAGTTAACACCCGGACACCGGCCCGGAGATGTCCACGGTGTCCAACACAAATCACCGTAAGATGGCGGATCGAACAAAGGAAATTGGCCATGGGGAGCTACAGCTTGCCAAGCACAAAGCCATCTCAAGATTTTTCGGATTTACAGGGTTCATGACTCTGACCCTCCCTTCTCAGCAAGACCAGAAACGCGCGGGATGTCTATACTTGCCGAGGACAATAAGGTGTTTATGACAAAGCAAAAAATGGAAGTTCAGCATGTTCCGGGTGTTTAAGGGGGTGGGGGTCTCTTGCTGAATGTGAAAGGGTACGCCGAGGTGTGGACCACTTGAGGCGACCAAACCGAGTGACCAAGTGAGACAGTTTGGGACTCCTGAACTCCTGAAACCTGTTCCTCTCCGAAGCTGATGCAGCTAAACCATGGAGGATCCAGGCATTGGATTCTGTATCTCATCCATGATGCCAAACAGGACCCTTTTCAATTGGCCCTGAAGAAAAAAGCAAAGCTATTCAGAAAAGT